CGGGCCTGTAATTGGCACTGCTGCCGCCACAAAATACACCAAAAGCAGTGAAGAAGACCCCGGAGCATGGTTGCCATGGTTGCCCTTCTGTTTATTCTCCGCGGTGGACGGCGTGTGCTCCTGCTGTAAATCTCTCCGGTAGTCCACCAGCAGATGAAAAACACCCACCTCTCCGCCTCTTCCAAGGGACGAGGGAACCATGCGGCAGAGTTTCCGTTAACATGTCCGTTAAAGTTTAAATCTTCCGGACATAATTAGAAAAGTGCCGGTCAGAGGTCTTCTTTGTTATTTATTGAGCTTTAAAACAAATTGATAACGACTCTATATAATAATATATATATAGGAGACGTGGGGAGAGGGAGACGTGGGGAGAGGGAGATGGGGCTATTTCATCGTTATCAGAAAATGATCGTATAGAGGCTTACACATGGAGCCGTTTGCCCCCCCAGAGCGTTCCGTTTGCAGATCTATCCACCTTGGGACCCGTTATCGTTTGCGGGGTCCGTTTCTATCGTTTTGTTACGGCCTCGTGTAAACGAAAGGGCTATACGCAAGAGAAACTATGCGGATACAACCCGTATCGTCCTCGTGTAAACGGGGTCTTAATCGCTGTTGAGTAAATAAACTAGTAAAAGCATACCATGAGAAAGCATATACATACAATGAAAAAGAAAAGTGCTTCAAAATGATACTCAAGAAAAGTACTTGAGTAAAATAATCCAGGTTAGGCTATTTCCCACAACTGCAGTATTGTTGAAGTTTTGGACATTGGATCTTAGATTTCTCATATTACCTAGGATTTATTTGTTCTGCTACAGCCCAGCAAGTTCTTTCGGTCACTGTGATACTCTCCAAGGAGAGAAAGGAGTGGTTTAACCCAGAAATAAATGCAGTGTAGTGTACTCTTCCCATAGAGGTTTATGGCTCCGTTTGCATTAATCACCTCCAGTGAAAAGGTCTGCCAGGCCTCACAAGTCTCCTTGTTCACAGCTTTGCCTGTATATCAGTCTGTGGCCTTACAAAGACTGTCTCAGCCTTAAAGTACCGTGACTTAATGTTCGGTACCAGGCTCCACCGGGGTGCAGCCGCATGGGTGGGAGCACACCGCTTTCCAAGTGTTTACAGAAAGAGTTAATGTTTTTGCTTTTGTGTTGATATAAGAAGTGAGCTGCAGATAGGGAGGACAGCTGATGGAATGTGAGTGGATGTTTTTTTAGATCTATGCTTATTCTAAAAGATAGTAACAATGTTGTTCCTCACAATTTCATTTTCCAGAAAAGCTTTCTTGATATGTTCTTCATTACCGTGCAAATTTAACATGGTTTAAACACAGGATTTTAAGGCTTTTCTATGACAAAATATGTACAATTTTCCGAATGATTTTTCAATCATGTTTGCAGTCAAACAACTGGATAACAACTTTCTATTCACCAAGTGAGTAACTGAGTCTCAATGCACTCTTCTTATAATTGTTGGGTGTGTGATGATGAGGACCTTAAACACAATGTGAAGTGAAGCCCACAGCCCGTAACCATGTTGCACTGTTATCAGTGACGACTCTGAAAGCTGACTGTGCAGAATGTGTAAAACATTTAGAGAACACTTTCTTTCCCAAACTCTTGAATAGCCATTTGTGTCTTGCTATTGGGCCACAGCTGCACTTAAGTTTTGTCTTCAAAGCTATGGGTGCATTTTTGGTGGGGGTCAAAGTGTGTTAGAACACAATGAGTTACTTGTGGGGACAACACACACAAGTTCAAAATTATTTACCCTCTGGATAAAAGTCTCCTTGTTGTGGTATGCGTGAATGCTCGCCTTCCATGAATCCCTTTCATGATGCTGTATAGAAATATTCACATAAAAAAAACAATCTCTAGTCATCAAATAGCTTTGTGTAGGCCTTCAAAGCTGGGTGTCTTCAGTTTCCAACAAGTCCAACAACAAGAAATCTGAAAAAAAAGTGTCGCTCTGCTGACCAAACATAAAAAGAGACCATTACAAAGGTTGAACTGTTTTACCCCTCTTCGCCCTCCCGTCCTTTCTTTTGGCAGAAACAATGTTGCTGCATTACTTGTCTGTTATCCTTCCCCCCTGATGATTTTCTTTAGCATGTTTTACTTCTCTTGTTTGAACAGATGCCGCCCCCCTCCTGCAGCCCCCATCCCCTGGGATTGCTATAAGGCTTTGCACAATGAGGTGAAACTCAATTACATTAATGCTAAGAGTCCAGCCCAGTCGGTTCCTTCCAATAAACAATATCAAACGTTATGATGTATATCGCTTCCTGAGGAAAATGTGTAATTTTTTGTTTCAAGTTATTTATGAATGGAAGAGGGAGCTGCATGACCTTGCTCACCTCTCAGTCCGTCCATTACTATTTTTTTTACAGCAAGATATTTTCTAACCTGTAGGCCACCAACCAGACCCCATATACATGTACACCTGTCGACGAGTTCGGTGAATATATGGATGACTGGTTAAGATGGATAGTGGAGACAAATTTAGCCAGCCTTTCCTTCCTTCCTCTTAACTTTACTGGCATCGTGTCCGCTAGAATTCTTGGTAAAGGCTCTTGAGATAAGCAGCTGGTGTTGTCTGTAAATAAGGACAGTGGCTACTCTCAATGTTCAGCTTTTCCAGCTGTACCTCTCTGACATGCTTCCAATGCCAGAAATTCCCCCTAAAGAATCCCAGAAACATTTCACTTTTTACCTCTGGTGAAACAAAATTTACTTCAACTAAAATATTCCAAGTACATTGGTAGGTGGTTGCTACCATATATACATTTTTCCATTCGAAGAAATCTGAATTGCATTTTATATTTGTGCCACATTGTGAACAAAGTATCACTCTGCTAGAGGAACTACTGTTGCTGGGACCAAATCATATACACTGGACCAAAGCTTTGGGAGAACAGATCTGTGTTTGAAATTGATTTTTTTAAGTGTAGCATGCAAAGTTAATGTCATGGCTATTTTCCTTCTGCAGGTCACATTGAGATTTTACACTGCCTCTGTTGATATTGAAACTACTTATATTAATGACATATGTGGTAAAAGGGATGTAAATATTTAACTGTCAGTTCAAAAAACAAAGGCTACTGCATTCACAGTTGTATTTGACATGCCTGTTGCACATGGACAGATTATTAAACAATGTGCCCTTGGGCAAAGACATTTAAGAAGGTGCAGCATGGCTGCATCATAATTGCTGGGCCCGTCTTTCAGTCAAAATTGGCAGGAGAAACAATAAAAAAGCAAAGATGCTGGTTCTATTTTCTTAAAGCCAAGCTTTTAAGCACTTTTAAATCAATTAGTAAATTATGCTGTGTCTTTAATGCTAAGTGGTGCACAGAAATGGCATGACATTACATTACATCACCAGTGAGAAGAACTCATAGAAAAACCTGAGTTCATATAGGGCCATTATGGCTCCAAAGAAGAGAGACTGAGAAAATAGGTTTTCCAGGGCCTTTCATAAAATGTTACTGTTAAAATGAATACATATTGGCCTGGATTTGGCTGGATGGAATATTGAAAGACTTGATCAGGCGTCTCAACTTTTACTGTCCAAAAGGAAATGTCAACGAGTCAGTTCAATTTAAATTACTGCAACATCCTGTTTTTGTTGTGTGTTATTTGCTTTACTAAGGTACATAGTGGGTGTTTTTGCGTTTGTCTGCTAACACCTCCTCTCAAGGTTACATTTCTCTATTGACAGCTTTGCAGTCAAATTGTCCCCCCATGAATAAGACTTTAGATTCACTTTTTGTCCTTTTAGTTTTTCCATGATGGCTATAATGCAGGCCGTTATCTTTCACATTTTTATATTCCTCCACAGCATCACTTGTGGTTGAAGCGGCAGCCACTGAACATCATCTCTCTGCGGGTGGAGAGCATCACGCCGTCGGTTCCCCCTTTATTGGAGCCCCGCCCCGAAATCAGTCGATCAAATTCAGCATCACACTCGCGACTCTCTGACCAATCAGCGCGCAGAGGAGTGGTCTAGTTCGGTGGTCCGGGAGGGCAGCAGCCAATCAGAAGCTCGCACTGGTCGGACAAAGGAAAACACGTCGTGTCTGATGGTACATTATTCATGTCCACGCTGAAATTATTTAAGGAGACGCGATGAGGTGAGATAGCGGAGTGCTATAAAGGTATCGGATCTCCTCAGCTTCACTTTTTCTGTGAGAGTGAGAGTTTAGTAATAAGAGGATGATGGGATGTTATGTCAAAGTGTAAATAATTTCCCCTCGATTTAAGCATCGAGACAACCCCGTTAAGCTGATTAGCAAAGCCAGGTGAAATACTACCACACGTTGCTGCTCTCATTCATGAATCATAATCCTCTTTCCTGCTCTTAATGACCAGTAACTTTTAAATTAGATCACCACAGTACAAAAAACAAGCGTAAAGTTAGTTATGAATCAAAACATTGTGTGCATATAAAGATGCCAAAAAATAAAATAGGGAAAATAATGAAGTTGATTTATCATGTGTTTTTTTATATAGTGACATCAGCCATGTAGGCAAAGCACCATCACTGCATTTCTCTGTTTTACACACACACACACCGCCCATGCAGCTTCTCCAAAGCGACGCTGTTCGCCTCACTGGGCTCATTAATGTAGAGAAAGGGGAGGAGGAGGACAGCTCGCTCTTCTTCTACGATGTGCTGAGAGCTGCCGTTTCATTTCACCACCGCCTCCGAGCAGCTTAGTCCGCCCTCTCTCTCTGGGTTCAAGTGTTATCTCAGATTTTGATAACGTTTTTGACAGTTTTTCTACCCTACAGCCGCACCGGGAAGAGCACTCCACCGGGCGGAGAAGAAAGAAGTTTAATCCCCAGCTGGTGCTCCGGACACGGCGGATCCGAGGTCCCACGGTCCTACACATCACTATCTCTAGGTCGAATTTTTATATATCTTTTTTTGGGAAGTTCTCATCGACTTCAGTGAAGTTTCTATCCACCCCTGAGACGACAACACATCCGCCCGGCATCATGACTCGGAGATCCTGTGCCATTTACGCCACCGGTATCGTGTGCGCTCACCTCCTGATAGTGGGAATCGCCCTGGTCGTGGCTCAAGTCTTCCAAACAATGATACACAGCCGTTTAAAAAAGGTGAGTTTGCATCAGTTTTAAAATCGCCAATGGTTCTCTATGTTTTCCCCTTCTTTCTCACTTCTCCCATGTGTCAGGGTTTTGAATGTTAAAGCATTTAATCTGCAGTGGGCAATACTGCGCATTCAGCCACTCACTGATCACAGCCTATCTGTCACAAGATCATGCAGTTTAAAATATTTTTTATTTAAGCTGTTTACATTAGTGGTGTATTATATTTTGCTGAATTCTGCAGCTCAGCGAGATGAACTTAAAGGCTTTCTCTTCAGCCACCTAAGCCAAGCAACGTAAGTCATATTGCATCTTGTGCAGCTTCAGTGTTTTGTTCAAGCTTGCAATTAAACAAATGCTTCGCTTCAGGTAGAAATCCCGTACAACTCACACAAGGGGAATTAAGAAGGTGTGACTCAAATATGAGTTCATCATGACCTTACCCCCCATTTATGGAAATGTCCTTTAAAACAATCTCCTTTCACATTATTGTAATGATCTGCAGCTTTTATATGTTCTGACAACTCATCACAGGATTCAACTATTGAATGGAAGAGAGTCTAGATAAAATGCTCAATATGTTTTCTCTGCTAGGAGCTTTCAGGTAACCTGCCCAGTGCTGCTCGCATGGCAGGGTGATACATTTCTGCATGATGGTTGACCTAACTGTGGAGTGTTACCGGTAGTAGTAGTAGTAGAAATCTCAGCGAGCAGGGAGAAGGTGGTAGGGGGAGGTGGGCCGGCTCTGCCATAATGGGGGAAGGGAGCTTGTGTGAGTGGACAGTCCCTGACTGCCACTGGTGGATCTGTGGCAAGTAACACATGATGTGACGGCAGGCATCCATCTCTGTTCAACTTGTATTAACCCAAAACAAATCTGCTTTCATTTTCATGATGTGTTATTTCTTTAAACACGGATACATGGTGATTTTAAAAGCTAATTCAAGGGCAAAATAATGTGTCCTTCTGATGTTTCCTAGTGTGTGTAAAAAAAGAAATGCAATACTGGTCTATTGCTAGTCTTTACTGCCTCACAAATCCATCTTGTGATCTCTTTCCTTTCTTGAGACAAACTGTAAATCATTAACCCCACACATAGGATTCATTATTGAACTAACGATTTACCATTCAGGTTGACATTTCGTAGTAAAGTAGGGTTTAACATTTCTTTCCGACCTCAGCTGGTCCTAAATGTACAGAGGAATAGGGGTCAGACTGACCTGTTTGGTTTCATGTCTACAGTGGTATACTGGTGCCTCAGTTTAGGGCGTGTAGGGGTGATGGGGTGGCTTGGCAGCTGACACCCTATGCCATCCACCCTTTCAAAATACCTTACATTCCTCTAAGTAACATAAATCACATTGTTGGATGCTCTGTATCTCTCCGTAACCCCCACGCAAACTTATTAAGTAGAAAAAAGCTCATCAGAAAAGCTCCAGGCACTATTTTTCCAAGTTGGGGATTTAAAAACAACTTCCCCCCCGGACATAGTTTCCCCCTCCTGCGGTTAAATATAGGTCAGGGGCTCATTTGTGTCTGATTCCGGATCACGGCAGCGACCCGGGGGACCCAAATTAAAAGAGTTATTCAAAGTTCATCAACGGGGGACATAGTTCTGATGTGGCCGGCGATTACATGAAATGACAGCATAGCTAATCCTCTCTGTGATACTGATGTAGCTTAGTTGTTCAGGACAAGTTACCTCCAGGATACAGACTCTGTTTCTGAGCTGGGTGCGGAGGGAGGCGGTGTTAAAGCCATGCAAGTCATTTGACAGACTTCATGGCCTCAGGGGCATGATTTCTGCCTGCGAGCAACCTCGTTGTTCCTTGTTGTTGTTCCAGGCTCGGCCTATCCCGAATTATTCTGCTAAAACACGGAAACTTAAAAAGAAAAACACCCGCTTATTATGACACTCCTCTCACCCCTGTGTAGGAGAGCAGACCTTTCAAGGTAGTATGACTGATTTGAGCTTTAAAGTGTTCAAGAACAAGGTCATACCGGTATAAACGCAGTGTGTTTTAGCTCAAAATGTTGCAATGACGCAACACTTGGATGTTGAATATTCAAAACAGGCACCTAGAAGGATGTTCTTGTTAGAGTTTTTTTCCATGTGCGGTTCAAAGCAGGATCTTGTCACACCACACCTAAGCTGTGCCTGAAGTTGTTTGGCTAAGGGCTGGTTCTCTTAATTGAATGTGTACCTTTCCATCAGTGAATAAATAACCCTGTGTTTTGATTACACCCACAAACCTCTCCACTTTGTCCTTAACTTGTTTTTCTGTTTGATAGATCAAGGATTTCTTTCGAAGAGATAAATGATTGGTTATATAGCCCGACTCTGATGAAGGCCTTTTTGAAAGACCTTTGTTCAAGGTGGACAAACACAGGGATTCATGTGAGCTACAGTCACGCAGAGTGCTGCAGGGGAAAGCCAGACGAGACAGAAGCGTTTCAAAAGTGTCAGTTTGCATTTTTAGATTTGAAAGGGAACACATTTGGTCATTTCTGCTTATTTGGTATAATGTTTTATAGGACTCCCGTAGAGTGTATATAATGGTCATGCACTTCCGTTGCACTACCTGGTTTCCCTTCAGCTCTTAATTAAGATGACGAATATGATATGATCCACTCAAGAGAATCTCACTCTTTAAATACCTCAAGTTCTATTTCTTCAGAAGTAGTGACGCAGCTCTAGCTCATAATTTAGGGCTTTAACACAACTGACATAGTGTCCTGAGTAGAATCTGAAATTGTGCAATGCAACATCTGTAAGTGGTCATTATTTGGAATAAGAATACAGCAACAACAACGAAAAGAACACTTAGGACGCAGAATAGCAACACTTCCAGTGCTGCAATAGTCAAGTGATTAATTCATTATCTTCAATTTGAAGATTTGCTTTTCTTTTTATATCATTGTTTAACTGTAAATCTTTGGGCTTTGGCATGTTTGTTTTTTTTAGGAAAGAAGATGTTACAATATAACCTTGCAAACAATACTATAGAGCACTGCGTGTTTGAAGTTGAAAGCCAAACAGGAAGTGCCAGCCACACCTTAAACTATATTTTCTCAACCGCAACTACTGATTGCAAAAAACCCTGTATAGCGTCTCGAGTGTGCACCTCGCTGTACCCAGTGGCGGAAGGTTTTCAGGAACTCACCATTAAATAGACACAAAGGAAGTGGGTCATTTATCCTTTCCCTAGTTTAAAAATACACCCGGAAAAAGCATGCTTTTTTTTCTCAGTGTCAAACGCCTTTAGTTAACTTACTGGAAGCTTTTCTACACTAAGGTTGGCTTGTTTTCTCACAGCTGAATGTTAACAGTTGATGTTACTCTTGTGGCAGATTATGTCATACAAGGTTACTCACTGGTGACTCCAACTTGAGGTTTTTCTTTTTCCCCACATGATCACAGCTGAAACATCTGTGAGATCACTCGGATAGAAACCATCGTCTACTTTCTGTGGTGGCTTTGCGTAGACAAAAAAAAACATAAAAATCACCTGACATCCAACCTGTTGTCTGATGGCTAAGAATGCCATGTTTGCTGTTGTGTGGGCTGACTTAACCCAGAGTCAGAGGAATGCCCAGGCTTGCTTAGGTCAGAGAGACATTTCTGCCTGTCCTGAGGTTTTTCTCTTTTTGCAACTATGAAGGACTTTTCTCCACTTTCCTCTGTTTTTTTTTGGCTCAGCACCAGCTCCTTGCAGAAAAGTGCCATGTGTGCTCTCAGATGGCACTCAATCAGAACAGTGAAGAGTTTTGAAAGTGTCCAATTGTGAATAAAACATTGTTGTTTCCCCAAAGTGTACAATTTGAGCTTTCAAAACCTGTCTTTTCCTCAACACTTTCTTTGTTGATTCTCACTCTAAATGTGTATTTTTTTTTTTTTGTTTACAGGAAATAACTTTGACAGAGAAGAGTCAAATGTTTGAGTCATGGAAGAATCCCCCTCCACCCGTTTACATGGAGTATTACTTCTTCAATGTCACCAATCCTGAGGTGTTCTTGGCAGGCGGAAAGGCATCTTTAAAACAGATCGGACCGTATACTTACAGGTACGTTTTGAAATGAAGCTGTGAATGTCTGTAATAAACAGTGATGGACACTGGTTCCATGTTTGTAATAAAATCCCTGTTTAAGGAAAGATATCTTGCATTATCCATCTGGGATCGTTCTGTTTCCACTGTGTGACATCAAAACATAAGACATCTGGACTAACTGACATTTCCACACCAGGGAGTACAGGCCGCGGGAGAACATCACTTTCCTGGAGAACGGGACCAAGCTCTTTGCACTGAATCCCAAAACCTTTGTGTTTGTTCCTGAGAAGTCAGCTGGTAACCCTGAGGTCGACCTTATCAGGACTGTCAACATCCCGTTTGTGGTAAGACATTGTGTCTGGAGAGGATAATGTGTGTTATTAGGACTGGCAGCAGCTAGTAATCATGTCCCTTCGATTTTTTGTTGGACTCATTTGATTGGCATGTATGTGTTTTTGTTTTCTCACATTGTGACATTTTGTCAGGTTAAAACGTCACTCATTTCAGACCAAGTGAACTTAAATAGAGCATTAATTCATGAGACTTTCCACACAAAAAAAAGACATATAGCAAGCAGAAACCGGACTAATCTTTCCACTCTGTTTTCTCTTCTTCAGGCCATCATGAACGAGCTGAACTCCTACTCCTTCTTCCTGCGAACTGTGGTTTCCATGTACTTGAACAGCATGGGCGTTGAGGTGTTCATGACCCGCACTGTCCACGAGGTTCTGTGGGGCTTCAAAGACCCTGTCCTCACAAAGGTCAAGTCCCTCAAGCCAGAAGTGGACGAGTATTTTGGGCTGATGTGGAAGGTATGTTTCACTCCCTTCCATGAATATATTTGTCGATGCAAGCTAGATGTTACGTGTACACGAGAAGTGAGATTGGCCAAATGCTGATGGAAGATGCTTGTACTTCCTGTTTATAGAGCAACGTCTGCAACTTTGCACAGGCAGTGACCACAGCAGCCTTGTGACCATGAGTGAAGCATTTTTAGAACTTACTGATGAATTAGTTGTTAGTTGATCAGAAGAAAACAAACCGTTTAACAATTGTTTCAGTCATTTTTTTTATCAGAGATTCAGAGCCTTCATCTTTTTAAATGTGAAAGATGGATCCTTTTTTTTCAGATTTATCATCAAATGTCTACAGTACTTTGGCTATTGGTCGGACCACCAAGACATTTTAAAGATGTCCAATTGTAGAAAGTACAAGTAGAACATTTGCATTTTCCCAATTTTTAAATGTAATAGACAAAATGCTAATGATTTCAGGCAATAAGTGGCAGATTAGTAAACTTATTTTTCAGTATACGTTTTTTCAGAGGTCGAAAATTATGATTTTGAAAACACCCACAAATGTATTGTTGTAGTCTAGTCCTATGGGCTTGCTTATGGTAAAAAATTCAAAGCAGCAGTTGTCTCACATTCCTTCGTTTGTCCTATAAGAAACATTGGCGCTGTTTCTCTGAACCTCGTCCTGTTTTCTGCAGAAAAATGGCACCCATGAAGGAGAGTTTGTGTTCCACACCGGCGAGCAGAACTACATGGATTACGGCAAGATCGACACGTGGAACGGCCTCAGGTAATGGCATGTCATGCGGAATCTTTCCTTTTTCCTGCTTTCTTTATGATAGGAAATACTTTCTCTTGTCGGCGCAGGGCTTCCACTTCCTCCCAGTAGTGATATTCACATTCACCTACAGTAGTTACACAACCCGTTTTGGAAAGTCCAGAGGGGGACAGCCTTTGCTCCACTGGCTCTATGTTGAACATTATTGCAAAACTAGAGAATGCAATTCCTGAAGAAATTGCTAGTGGGAATGCTTTATGCTGAAAAGCTGACGCTAAACTGCTATGCTGAAATGTATTGTGTAAGAAAAAAATGAAGAATTTAGATTGAAATGATACATGAACACTGGGGGCTTGAATGTGTGATGAGAGAAGAAAAGAAAGTAAAAAGGCTTGGAAAAGCAGCAGAATATTTGAACTGCAAACTTTTGAAAGAAGTTCATGGCGAATGATCTGTCGCCATGCCAACGGCATTTGATGACATCCCATAATACGCTTAGATGCGTTGATGGCTGCATCGTTACCAAACCTGTGAAGTTTTTGGCCGTTTGGAGCATTTTCACTGAAGTTATGAGAAAACCGTGTTTCATGGTGAGCATTGTGTTGCCATGGCAACGGCATTTAAAGAAATCTCAAAACTGTCCCGTAGATGTCTTCACGGCTGGACTGTTAGCACACATGTGAAGTTTGAGCACTTTTTGAACATGTCTCAGGAATGTAGGGTTTGGGAATTATGGCAGGTTTAAAAGAAAATATGAAGGCAAAATTAAATCTGTCCTCCACTCTAGCTGTGACATCACTCACTCTAAAATCTGAAGAAGGCCTCTTTACCAAGGTCTGAACAATGTTTAATATCTGTAAAAGTAAGAATCAGATTTAAAAGTTGTGTTACACGAATAATGTCAGAAAGATGTGTAACATTTTAAAGTTGGAATGAGGTTTCTGAGTGAAAGTATGAAGGAGCAGTTAGCAGTTGAAGTTGCATGAAGATTGTTGAAGTCTGAAGATTTTCTCCATTGACTTCCATGTTAAAAATGTGATGAATTATGGGATGTATCTCTGGAATTATGAAAGTTATGAATGAGAAAAGTAATAGCCTGCGATTCCCGACCGAGCTGAACGTTTTGATGTTTGAACGGAGTTTCTGCGATGTTCAATGTGGGAGGAGAAGTGGCGCAAAATAACCCGGGGGAATAATAAAGAATTTCGTGCGTAGCATAACAGATAGTTGGAATGCTGTGTCAGCATTCCCACTAAATGAATGATTGGATATCAAAGTGACTTTATATTAAATCAGCAAGTTTAGTTTTTAGATCCTTTTCTTAACTGAAAGTACACAGTGTTCAACCAAATTGAAAATGCTTAAAATGCAGAAAAAATGCAGAAAAAATTGACTTCCAAAAATCACAAGCTACTGTAATCATTGTGCAGAATGGTGGCCTCTGTCATAAATATAAGGTTCTAAAGAGGGAAAATGTAGTGAGACGATTCATTTGGTGTGAAAGAATAACTAACAAAGTTCTGAATATGTAAAGGTGAGCATTTTCTTTGTTATGACCTTAATCTGTTTGGGTGTTGGCTGTGGGAAATCGCAATGACCAACTCAAAATAAATAACCGGCAGATATAGTGTTGCACAAGTACTTTGTTTTATCTGAAAGAGCAGAGTCGAATCATGAAATGGCCTGAGATTAACATAGTCATGTAAAAATACCTCATAGTTGTACTTAAGTCATTTTCTGAATTTATAGGGAGATGTCGTGGTGGTCTTCCAATTCGAGCAACATGATCAATGGTACAGACGGCGCAGTCTTCCACCCTCTGATCAACAGGAACGAGCTGCTCTACATCTTTGCTGCTGATCTCTGCAGGTAAGCACGTGGTTATACTTTTGTTTACGGTCAAAGCAATCTGGGCGCAGCTAGGACGAGAACTGCCAAGTCAGGAAATTGCACTTGAGTCATCTAAAATATGCTTACAGACACTGATAAGGACATGAGTAGTAGTTTTTACGACCGCTGATAAGACTGTTGATGAACTCAAAACACATGTGGGAAAGTCAAGACACTCGAAGGGATGATTGAACAGGAAGTTATCATCTGGAGCAGGAAGCTTATTTACGTATTTCGGATGCCCAGAAGATTAAAGAATAAAAGGAACATTACAGCTATTTACTTTTTCTAGATTTACAGAGTTAGTCTTGGAAGTTAGGAAAAGCTTGATTTTCACTGCTATGTTTTCAGGGTTAGGAGTATTATTAACTTCATATATTTCATAATGTGTTTTATCTACCAATTTAAACCCCAAATCGTTTCAAATATCTACAACGAAGAAATCCTATAGTTTGTCTCCCCGGGTCTCACCCATGTCACAAAGCGGGCTGGAGCTAGCTAAGCATTTAATGACCATGATGAAAACATAGATTTTAAGTTCATATTAACAGCTGGTAAAAAGCCACATTACACATTGGTGACATTCTGAAAATCTTTTCTTTAGCTATTGCATTTAAATGTGAAGATAAAGGCTTGTAAATCCTGGAAATCATTAGTTTAGGTTGAAAGTGCTTGATTTTATTCTTAAAAAGCCATATAAACGCAATCTTAACAATCTATTTCTTTCCTCAGGTCTATCCATCTAGCCTACGTAAAAGACGTTGAGGTGAAAGGCATCCAGGCGTACCGCTTTGCACCCCCAAACGATGTTCTCATGAACCCCAAGGAAAACCCCGCCAACGCGGGCTTCTGTGTGCCAGCTGGAGACTGTCTCGGCACCGGGGTGCTTAAAGTCAGCGTTTGTCGCGAAGGTAAAGGACTTGCCCCCCTCTCACACCCCCTCTCAGTTGCCAGAGAGTCTGACCCATTTACTCGGTCCCCCTCCTTATTCTACCCCCAAAAAAATTCCTTTCAGTCAGCAGCCGTGTCCCCTGCCTGGTATCTGACATTCCCACTGTTTGAGCATGCCTGATTTTCACTCAATACACGGTTCAATGATTAACTATACTGTCTGTGTGTGCAGGCCATTGAGGTATTTATAATGGTCATTGAGTGGAGTGGGATTGCTCTGATTAGGCTTGACACACGAGGACAGTGTGCCCACAGATATGCTACTGTAGCCACAAAACTCTGTTGTGTGTTTTTATTTTACAGCCACTTTCTTTAGGATGCTTATTTTTCTGTAATTTTGTTCTAACGCATACAAACCCAGTGCGAGAAACACATCACTATATGTATTGATGTATGTGCTTGAAACTGATTGGCTGTAGTATCAGCATCTCATTTTCATATGAGGCAAAGGCGTCTGATTGGAGGGATTGTTGTGATGCTTTCAGAGAGCCAATCACGACCGAGCCCTGTTGTCATGTCATGTGCAAGGGTGTCATTCTGAAACTGCCTCTGTGGTTAAAATCATTATGTGTCTTTTTTTTATCGTTCACAGTTTGTACGTCAACTGAACACAATTTGAATTTGTGAATAATTTGATGACCTCCTCTGTAGCAGTTTAGTACCAAAAAAAAAATTATATTTAAGCTTCAGCAGCAGTATATACTTTGGTTCTTTTAGTCCACACATTCATAAATAAAGATTTCTAAATTTCCCCACCAGGACCTTAATTCCTTTCATTGTAGGCAAGGCTTACAAACAGTAATAAGACCTTTTATTTGGAAATGTAACTTAAAAGAAAATCCAATTAAACAGTTAAATTATAGATAAAATGTGAACATTTTAAATTAAGGGAAAAACTGTGTTTTTAGTGCTGAAACACAATCTTGTGTTTACTTTTCCAGCTTATCTTTCCTTAGGACTATAAACATTCTCCAACTATCGTTGCACTATACCACTATCTACTAAATACCATTTAATCTTATCTCATGTTTCTTGAATCTTTTTTCTGCCTTGTGGTTTTGAGTTGTTCCTCACTAATGTTGGTCTCTTGTTTTTATTCAAGGTGCTCCCATCGTGGTATCTTTTCCCCACTTTTATCAAGCCGACCCAAAGTACATCAATGCTGTTGAAGGGCTTAACCCCAACAAGGAGGAGCACGAGACGTATCTGGACCTGCAACCGGTATGACTCGTATTTAATATCCCTACTGATTACAGCCCTGCGCAGCGATCTGTGTTGAGGCTGGCTTTGTTGGTTGTTAACTGCCTTTTATCTAAATTACAATAATTCTTTTGAGTCACCATAGAATTAGCTCTGCTTTTATTTGTGTTTTTTTGGACAGCAAGTTACCTTTAAAAAAAATATATATATTTATATATATTTCAACATCACCAGTGATTAACTCGTATTTTAGGACAAAACACGCATTCAAAAGCCCAATAATAAATAACGCTTTATCTTTTTGTTATAGACCTCAGGGGTTCCCATCCGTGCCTGCAAGAGAGCTCAGCTCAATATCATCCTGAAAAGAGTCACAGGCTTCCCGTGAGTCGATCTTTGTCTAACTTTGACCCAGTCCACTGTTGCCACACTTGTGTCCTCATTATGGTCACATGTTGAGCCAAATGTCCTCCCTGACACCTGTCTCTATTCTTCAATTTCAGTAAAACCAAGTTGATCCATGAGACCATTTTCCCCATCATGTTCGTCAATGAGGTGAGAATCTTCATTCAAATGTCCGACACGAATCCTGCTCTCATCATTTTTGAATCACAAATCAATAATCATCATGTCTCTCAATTCTAGACTGCAACCATCGATGATGATTCTGCATCCCAGATGAGGACACTCCTCCTGATTGTGACTCTGGTGTCAAACTTCCCTTTGCTCATCGTGGGCATGGGCATCATCCTGCTGCTGGTGCTGGTCGTCTTGTTCTGTCGAAACCGCCAGAAGAAGGTAGGAGCTTCTTCTCCCGCTGTGCTTCTGTGGAGTAAAATGTAGTATTTAATCCACAGTTAGCGAAAAGGCTTGTGCTACCCACTGACATTAGCTCGCAGTATAAATGATAAAAGGCTGCGGTAATATCTCACAGTAAACAGTTTTAGCATGGTTAACGGTTTCCTCAATGAGCTGCTGCAGGTTTTAACCCCAAAGCATGTTAACTAACACATTGCATGATTCCTGTGCAGCAAAGCCAGCATGAACAATTTTCCCACAATTCTGAATTAAATGTTGTTGTTTTTTAGTAGAATGTTTTCTAACAGTCGCTGTATCTTTGTGTTCAGTATCCGAGTTCCAGTTCAGTGTAGCTAAGAGCTAGCTTTGCAATATCAAGTAGCAAAGTGCATTGAACTGCTAAAGCCGTACTGAGAATAATGTCCAGCACATGTTCAGCTCTCTTATCTCCGGTAGTGCAGGATTATTGATTTGAACCCTGACTGGAACTGCCCTCAGACTACTGCAGTTGAGGTTATTCACTGTCCAGAGAGTCGTATGCTAGGAAAGGGAGCAGTTTGATATTCTGTAAAATATTCACTTTTGTTAATGCGCGGCAGATGGGAAGATTGATTTCAGTTATGTCTGTTTGATAAATATGCTCCAGGATCTGTTTTGTCTTTATCTTAAAACAGTGTTAATTTAACTATTTGGTACTTTGGATTTTTTAACAAACAAGATCCACCTGGTTAATTAGTAAGTTAAAGAGGTGCATGTATCTGGATTTTATTATTATAGGCAAAGTCCTGCTAGCCTTTTCCTCTGTTTCCAGTCATTTCAATCAAATATAGTTTACTGCTGTGAACGCAACAAGAACAATATTGCCAAAGTGTAAAAGAATAATGAGATTATAAAGAAAAAGAACAAGGTACTGTTATAAAATCATGAAAATAGCAGAAAATGATCAAAGCTTCGGGCTAAGCTAACTAGCTGTAGCATCATGGTTAGCATACAGACATGAGCGGTATCAATCTCCTCATCTCAATCTCATTAAAAAGGAAATCTCTCCCCAGACTATTTGTTTAGCATGCAACAGTTTAGTCAGTAGTTTAGAGAAGAAAGAGAAAATGTTAAAAACATGCTTAATTGCACTGTGAAGAAGTGTTGTATTAACCATGTTCTAATTTAAATTTTCTGTAACCTCCCCCCCTTTTTCCCCTTTTCTGTTTTAGAATGAAGTAAAACGTATTGATTTTACTGAAGCTTTTCATTCTTTTGCTGTAAGTCTTAATTTTTGCCTTGTTTGCTATTCTCCTTCTTAATTTGTTATCCATCATCTGTGGTTGTTATAATTTTAATTAATTTGGGACATGATACTCCTTATCTGTTGAGTTACCGCCTCAGTGTATTTCTTCTTTTAGTTAAAGTAAAAGTTGTCAGTGGTGTTTGTGCATACTTAGATGTTTGTGGTTTAATGTGACCATTTCACTCAAAAGCATTTCTTCTCATTGTTGTCTGTGTCCATAAAATAATATTTAGACATCTTGCCACTTCGCTAGTTTGTACTCACGCCTTCTGTCCTCCCGCACAGACGGTGAAAGACGACACGGCCTACACTCAGGTCAGCGACAAACCCGACGAGCCGTCAGAAATGCCCGCCAATCAGCCAATGAAGAACGGCTCCTACATTGCCATGTCTCCAGTGGAGGCCCAGAAGTGTTGATCAAGGATCCCCTCCCCAAGTGTGGAGCCCAGGAAGGGGGCTGAGGGAGCAGCACAGGGGTGTTACATTACCATGGGTGGGGGGTTTGCATAAAGAGCAGCCTCATTTACTCTTATTTTTGTGAGGGGTGGGGGGGTTGGGGAGGAAAAAGGAATAGCGTGGGACACAAGCCCCGGTAAATGTTAGACAACAAAGACATTGCTCCTCAAACTGAGCCCTCTGACTGTCTGTCCTCCTCTTCTCTACCTGCTGAGCATGGCTCTCGCCGCCTGCCGTACTGCAACTTAAAAAAACTCTCATTCCTCGTTTCCGTCCTGGTCGGCCTTTAAAGATGATGACGGGAACCCAGGCAAGAGGCTGGGCCAGGACAAGCCTTTTTTTCCATAACTCTTCTGTGGGAACACAGTAGCTTAGGTGACGCTGACGCACACAGACTCTGCCGACTGATACCGCTCAGAGAGAGTTTTACTGTTCACCTGAACAACAATTGCTGTTGTTAGCGTCGCATCCTCGCTCTTTTCCTCTGCGTCAGAGGAGAAAACTTGCAGCTGAAAGATTAAAAGGAAAGACCCAGTAATCGGAAAACCTAGGACGAAACTCTTAGCTCCTGCGGTCAGAAAATAAAATGGTTTTGCTAAGCATATCCTTTTTGTAAAGAAGAAAAAACACTGAGCCGAACCATTTCTAGCATTTTTGCCTTTTTGTCCTAAGATGAATTGGTGCACCCACACACATACACAGCGCTCTTCCAGTATCAGTTAGTAAAAGTGTGTGTGCACCTTTTTATCTTACGCTGTCCTGGGCAACGAATTATCTGGATGCAGGCACAGTGTAGTAACACCTGGAATACTTGTGATTTTCATCCCCCCCTCCTCCAGAACACTAGTTAGAAGTAGTCAGCTGATGACTACTCAGCTGTGAATTTATTAGGGCTCCTGCCAGTAGCTTGATACAATTGCGCCTTTTTTTTAGGCCTCGTCACACATTCAAATCAAAAAAGGAGAAAAAACACCCACAGAACTTAAAAGGGAGACTTGAACCTGCTTTCTGCCTTATAATGGTTCAGTGTGTTCTTAATGTTCATACAGTGTTCAAATAAGCTGGAAATCTCATTATTGTAAATATGTAAAAGGGGAAATGTTGAGATACCTCTGACCAAAATCCAGTAGGCAGTCCTTCTAGATGTGCTGAAAGACACTAACGTCGCTCTGGTGTCGACACGCTCCTGCAAGTCTACACTGTTATTAGAGAAAGCACAATTTGGATGGCTAAAACCAGTCCTCACAAGGATACCAGGTTTTTTTTCATCCTGTTACCATATATATTAACAGCTGATCGGTCAAAGACACTATCAAAGTGCCGTGACTATTAAACAAAAAAAGTGGAATCATTGGGGGTTTTGAGGGAGCCTTGGGCACCACTCGCCGCTGTGCAGTCTTTCAGTTTGCCAAGGAGCTGTAGGCATTCAGGCAAAACGCAGCACACAGCACTTGAATCACTGTTTGTCTTATGTTTCATGCGTCGTTGTTTTTCTGTCTGCCACACTCGTCTTGTCACGTCAAACCCAACAGCGGTAGTTGTTAATGGGAAGTGAATTTAAGGCCATAATAATGTCAACGTGGAAAATTCCCTGCACTTTGCCTGGAATTGTGCCCTGTGTATTCTCATTGTTGTTTTTTGTCCTATTCATTACAAGCCAAGTGGTCCCTAACTTCAATACATTTCAATTATTTCCTTGTGTTTTCTTTTGTTCTGTTCATTACAATGCCGGTGGTCCATACGTTCAAAACATTTCAATTTATTTTTACTGTTTTGTTTTTTTTGTCCTGTTCTTTACAATGAAGGTGGGCCAAATGTTCAATACATTTTGTTTCTTTGTCCTTGTAAGTATTGGTTAGGACGGATGTTAAATGCACATCCATGCCTCTGTGTTACGTGCTTTCCACCACATGGAGTGTCTTCTTTTGATATACTATTGTATTAGTTATTGCTGCTAAAAAGAAATGCCATAACCTATGGACTTGTTTTTGTACATGCGTGTACAAAACGTGCTCGTATTGTTTCAGGTTGATCTGCAGAAGCTTTTTCTTTAAAGGCTTTCTGTGTCACCAACATCTTTTTGACACCTGAGCACAAGATACAAAGCCCAAAGCTTGCTGCCATTTATTGGGATAAGCAGTTACAGTTATCACTAGCAACACTTTTGTAAATCTATCACACTTAACATACTCATTCCTCTTATTAGCAGATGATCATATCACATGTATTGTTAGCATTTTATTATAGTAGTAGTAGTAGTAAACTTAACAATCCGCCGGAGGCGCCTCATAATGGCGCTCCTCTTCATGTAAAGATTGGTGTCAGAAGTCTGGGTTAAATAATCACACTGGTGGAGAGGTCGAAAGTATTCCTTTAAGGTTGAATCGATTCACTAAAGGCCTTTTGTATTCCACATAAATGCAAGCAAACGCCGCCTTTTGCAAACTCACAGTGCATCGTTATCCACCTTTCAAAAACTTGAACCTATGAGACCTTAATCCCAAGTGTTGCGTGTCTGTTTAAACACACGCCTGAGCCACCACTCCGCCGCTGTCTGACTTCTACAACACCGACCTTTGAGTCCAATCTTTCAAGCCTATTGGCTCGTCCCTGCTTGACCAAAGATAACACACATCGATCTTCCCCAACACCGTGTTTACTCTCCTCTGTGATAACGGTTGTGCCACAAAACCACCCCCTACCTTGTTCTTTTTTTAATTGTGCCACCACTTATGTGAAGTATTTGCAGCAGTGTTGTGTGAGCGTGAACGCATGTATGTATGAGCCTTTTTACAACAAGGCAAGAAGGAAAAAAAAATGAGAGAAATTTCACAAGTTGGTTTGATGGGTATTGCTTTTTTTGTCCCCTGGTGCAAGAGCAAATAAAAGTAATCAATGCTCTTCATGAGCAGATCTCAGTATTAAGTAAGTCAAAGCAATACAGAGTTGTGTAAAATAAAAAATGTAAGGGGCCACAGAATATTTATGTATATTATTTGATTTGGTTTTCCCCTAAATTTGTGATTTTTGTTGTGTAGCAGTATTTGTTTCTGTAGCGTTATTTAGTTGTCGTTTTTTTCTGTAATATCCAACATTTCATTTTTGATCATTTACATTTTTTCACACTGAAATCACTAAAAAGATGGACCAGTATTTCACACTGGAAGCTGTACAATGTCTGTAAGAGTGTTCATGAATGGTTTAAGATTTGGGTGTTGAACCTGTATGAGTAAATTTGTGTTTGTGGACCTGTAAACACCATTTCTGTCAAACTGGAGTGATTTTTACTGGAAGGCTGATTATCTTGATGACTGCGTAAAGTAAAAGCATTGATGCTGTGTAAACTATCTAGATGAATGAAGCCCTCCTTCAGGGATGAGTACTAGTGCCATACCATCCTTTCTTTGGTGTAACAAACCGCATCTCCCCATGTTCTGAAATCACTAACGGACGTTTCCTCTTGAGATATACTCTTTTGTTTTGCTGCTGAATAGGACATTCCTTGTCATGTGAGGTGCAAAATTAATCTAAAGTAATATCCATTTTTAGTTTTGATAATTTACACTTCACAGATGTTTCTACAGTGCTTTTGTAAACATTTATAGTGTATTTGCAAAAAAATAAAAGTTGCAATCTAATGCAAAGTTCACATTGTTTTCTGCTGTCTTTTGTATTTCTGTTGGCGAGAGATATATAAACCAGTTAGTGGTAATAAACCCAGAGGAAGGTAATACATGAATGGGGAAACTATAAGCAACTTCACTTTTTATTTTGGAGCTTAATTTCAACTGAATATACTTTATTGAAATGTAAATACTGAGTTTAAAGCATTCAAATATTTAACCTTCAAAAGCATCTGAGTTTAGGTTTGACTTCAACTAGAAGTTAAAGTAGACAACAGCTTGCTTCATGGTTTTAAATACTTTACCCGTTTAAGTTATTTTTACAAATCCAGATTAAAAAAAATACAATTACAATATTCACAAACTTAAAAGTTGCTCTTTCAAATTAAGACATGAACAATCATCAGGCCTATCCCATCAGGTTACTTTGACGGTTATGTAATTCACTGAGTTTCAGACCAGCAACATAGTGCCTTTTCTATCTAAATGTGTACCTATTAACATTTTGATGGAATGAAAAAGCTTGAAAGAACCTTCTAATAAGTAGAAATATAACTCAACACACACATTTAGATAAATGAAGTTGTACACATTTCAATCCTGTAAAGCTAGAGCAGGTTAGCTTATCCTAGCACTAAAACAGGTAGCCTACCAAGTTACACCACAATGTGATGTATTTACACTTCAGCGATTGTAAAGGTTAAACAAACAAGAGATAACAAGTTAAACATAGAGTCATAGAGGTGCTGATGGTCGTGACATTTTGAAACCTTTGGACAGAGCCAGGCTAGCTTACACTTGTTTACAGTCTTACATTTTATTTTTTTTATTGAGTCAGGCACAATGAGTTTACATTTATACAGTCAATATTTTTCCCTTTCCCCCCCTCCCCTCCCGGTCCTAGCTAATAAAGTAAATAAATAGATACATATATTGGTAAAAATAAAGTAATGTAAAAGATAATATTAAAAGAAAATTAATAGATAAGGAAATGAGGAATAATAACAATAATACATGTACCCATATACTCACATATGTATACCCACATAGCCTATACACATATATATATGCACATACCTACACGCATATACACATACACATACATACACGTACGTACATGTATATAAAGACAGAAACAAAAAGACACATACATTCATAGTTCCCCCCTTTCTTCTTAATTTAGTGTCTTAAGTTCAGCTATGTAGGCTATCATAGAGCCCCAGACAGATTCCAATAGTTTTGAAGAGCCCCTCAGGTTATATTTAATCTTCTCCAAGTTCAGGTACATCATTAGATCTTTAAGCCATAGAGATGCTTTAGGTGGTATCAAAGATTTCCATTCTAGGAGTATTCTTCTACGTGCTAAGATAGATGCAAAGGCTATACTGTCTTTAGTTTCCCTCCTCATCATTCGATGGCCAGGTAGTACTCCAAAAATGGCAGTTTCTGCACATGGTGTCAATACCACGTCCAAGGCCTCAGCAAGGTGGATGCTTGTCCAGTATCCTTATACTTGTTTACAGTCTTAATGCTATGCTAAGCTAACCGGCTGCTCCTGGTAGTTCTACTGTCAAAACTCTGACAGACAGCACGCTAGCTTTTTCCCCCCATAACTACGGTAGGCCTACTGCTTTAAATGTCACAACTATTTTATATATTGACCAAGCATTTTGCAATAGGCCTTACTACTGGGCCAAAGGCTTTGATAAAGTTCAATTATTTTTCCTGCGATTACCTAAACTGACACACATATTATCTTCTTTAGACTCACCTGTATGCATAATACATTCAGATAAAACCCATGCTTTATAATAATAATAATAATACATTTTATTTCTAAAGCACCTTTCATTGCTAAAAGTAATCCCAAAGTGCTACAAGGGGTGTAATAATGCTTTATGCTGCAACAAGGTTTGTGACTCATCCAGGAGCCCTCCAGTGCTTTTACTTCCACAGAAGAGTTACGGCTGAACTGCAACACGTTCATGCAGGTTTTTAGGGAGCATAGGAGGTTGTGTTATTCATCTTAAGGTGTAGATACAGAAACACATAAAGGGTGCACATAGCTGCAGCTGTATCCTAACTTGTGGCCTTGGGTGAAGTTACATTTCCCTGGTCTGACCTCTTCTGAGACCTCACGTGTTTTTGCCCTTCAGATTATCCTTGCAGGGCCTGCAGGCGTCAGCATGTACGCACTGTCTCTTTCAGGCTTTCCGTTAAGTTTAAAGTATTCATTTTGGACTTTATTGACCTTCAATAGAGTTGACGACTCAACGTTCTTGTCTGCTGACGTTGTGTCTCTGCTGCTGATTGCTAAATGAATTCTAGTCCCTTCTTGTAAATTCTGGAGTCAACGTTCATGTTTGTCTTTGTTTATCACCTTTTTAACTTACATCACATGCAGGACATGTTCTTTTTTAAATCCAAGTCTGACTTATCTCCCATTAAGGCATAGCCAGTTTAAAGTATTCATATTTGGCCTATGCATCTACCAAGTTTCACACATTTTGAACATGATATAATGAATATTTTTGCCCACTTTTCTTGTGTTCTGTCAGTTCACAAACCTTCATTGGAGATACAATTGGAGTTCACTGAGGAGACTATTAAAGGAATTCTTTTTATATCAGCGTAAAAACAGAGAATACAATTGTACACATGATGACAAAAAGTCACACAGACACAATGAGCTCCACAAATGCATAATATCTAATAGCATCTAATGGCTCCCTTAAAGACCAGTGGAAGACTTTAATGTTGTTTAAAAGTGTAATTGGGCCCTCGGTAGAGGCCTTATTTATCACAGCAAGTGCTTGGGGACGCTTCAGAGAATCTTTCTTTCAAACGTCTCCATTAAGGCAAAGCTTCAGCAGCTTTACAACTGTAAGATCACCTGCAGACAGACAACAATAGGTGTCCCCCTCCTCCAATACACTAGAAAAATAGGTCTTCTTTTGTCCTGCTTGTCACCACCATGTGAGTCTCTGTGTGGGGGTGGTGGTGCTGAGTGAAAAGCATCACGGGGGAATCAATTCCTGTTATAAAAAAGATTACTTTACTTCATTTGACAGGGAATTGTTGGAGAGATCATTAACCTGAAAACTGTTTGAGTTGGTTAGTTAGTTTCTTTTGGAATGACATTTAACAACAAAACATGTAATCATTTTTCATTTAGTTTACCACTGATTCTTACTTTTACTTTAAGTTACTTAAAGTAAAGTCAAGTTAAATTAAGTAAGACTTTGAACACTGGACGTATTACTTTTACATACAACTTTGTATTTGTTTTATGTATTTGCTGTTTTGTCCAGAGTAACACGCTCAAGCAGTATCAGTTTACTCTTGTAGCTAAATGGCAGGAAAGTGAATAAAACTACATCCAAAGTTAACATATTTCTATCCAATTTATATGTACGCTTATATACGCTTATGTGCTAATAATAATACAATAATGGAACCCTGTGTCTTCGTAGTTTTGTAGCTGTTTTGTGTATATATTTTGTGTGTCTGTGAAGCTGTTTTTCATCTCCTTTAACGTTTTTCTGAAGTCATTTTGAGAATCTCAAAATACAGTCCACTCTTTCGACAAACTCCTCTCCAGGTAAACAATGGGTGCGTTTCAATTCCTTTTTAATCCAACCTACTGCAGGCAGCTCCGGACATGTTTAAATATCCACCCACTTGAAAGATTATTATTTGAAAGGAAAACTACTGTCCCGATCTCAGGGGCTTACAGGGAGATCATGCTGTTAACCCCTGAGTGCAGGGTTCGAGTTATAAACTGAGCTCTATGGGGGTCTTTGAAACTAACGCGCACACACACACACACACACACACACACACACACACACACACACACACACACACACACACACGCACACACGCACACACACACACACACACACACACACACACCAATAATAAACATATGGACAGGGGTTACTATTTAAAAAAAATTGCAAATGTATTTGGGAACCTATCCATGTGAACATATTTTGGGGGTGGACCTCAAATCATCTAGGGGGGTCCGGGGGCATGCCCCCCCTGGTAAGATATTTTTTTAATTTTGGAGTTAAATGCATCAATCTGGTGCATTTTGAGGGGAAAATAAAGAGACTAGATCTATGGAAACACCCATATGAAACAGATGCCACATCATGTAGACAGACAGTCACCCTGTGTGAGGCAAACCCACATTTGCGCAGCGTTGCATTCACAATAGCCTACATTAAGGCCATCGGGAAACCTCCAGATGGCCAGTCTGGGCCTGCCAGCAGCCCTCTACTCGCTACAAACTTAAATATGAAAACATAGCCGTGGGAACATGTTTCAAATGGGGGGTGCTGTGGGGATGACACCAGGGCCGGTTCTGACCAATTTGCTGCCCTAGGCAAGATTTTTGCTGGTTCATTTATATCTTATTTTATCAGTTAACATTTATTTATTCATCCATATTTTTTAATCTCTCCAGTTTTAAAGGATATTGTTGGTTTACTGTCCTATAGTATACATTGGAATGATTTCAAACCTGTTTTTATTTATCCTAATAATTATAAAGGTGTGCCTTGGAAATATTTGTTTACATAAATTGTGATAAAACCGTTTGAGACACACTGTGATAACTTAGACTAAAGTGAACTATCTAAACACTCAGAGTCCTTTACCTCACTGAGCCTCTCAGGGCAAATGTAACCGGGGTGAAAAGGGTGTTATCTTTACTTAATTATGAATGTGAACATCAAGGCCGAACATTTTTTTTTTTTGTATTATATTTGTATTATATTTCCATTTAATCTTGTGGACGTGCAGATTCCCTGTCCTCCATCAGGGGGTGCTGCAAGCACCCTCAGCACCCCTACTTACCACGGCCCTGTATGAAAAGGTTAAACTACGCACACACACATGATCTCGGCTCGCGCAGCATGCTCACAGGCATAGATTGTGCAAGAGGTGCAGTGCAGGCATATTGTTATTCAAGAGATGCGTTGTTCTTTTGGAAAACATGTTTTTCTTTTCAATAATACTCATTACATTGACACATGCATTATTTGTGATTAAAATAATGGTTGTTGGTAATGTATTAGCGACCCCCACAGATGTATGATTTCACTGCGTCCGTGGGAGCTCAGACCCCTCCTTATGGGAGCTCAGCTCCCATTGGCTCCCACATAACTCGAACCCTGCCTGAGTGTCCATTAACTGTTGCTGCAGCTCACATTCATGATGTGGTGATGCCTTCAGGATCCCAGCTGTAATTTAACTACTATTTTTAAATAATATTTAATAACTTTTTGTGGATAATTGTGTCTTTAAAATAACAGTTTGTGTTAATTATATTATCAGTCCAGGTAATTGTACGACTACAAGTTGTACTAATTGGTCTGTTGTGCCCCCTGCTGGTGTTTCTGAAAACCAATCTTACTATCCTTATAACAGAATGGTCATTGATGAGTTGAGGTGTTATAAATAAAAACAAATATTGCATGGAAAAACAGATGTTCTTTATATTACTTAGAATGTGGCCTGATTTTAATGTGAAAGATATTTAACAGCACCTCAACTATCTATCTAAACTAATAGATTATTTATATGGTTGAATTTAATCTTTTAATGTGTAATACGATCGTAGATATTCGATCTGTTTTTGCAGTTTAAGCATGTTTTGGGGAAGAAACTCTAACAAACACAAAATTAGCAGATTTATCAATCATTTATGAAAAATATTAGTTAATTGAAGCCCTAAAGTAAGTGCAGTGCACCTTTCTGTTGTTTGAGGTGTAGAAATACATTATTTGGGGAATACAAAATATTATATATATTAAAATATTGTTTGGTAAAATATCATGGTTATAATACTTATTATATTGGAACAATTCTAAAGGCCTTCTGTGACATGTGGTTAATATACAATGTTAACGTAATGTTAAATTAACAAACACCATTTAATTCAATAACAGACTCATAAATGAATGTTGAAACGTTTACAGGGGTCAGCATGCAAAAACAAACCTGCATATAATAACGTTTACATTCTCCATACATCAAAATGTTGTACATGCACACTGAGTGATTTCCTGATGTCTCTTTGGTTTAGTTATAATAATATTTGAAACAATGTTGGAACTTGATCTAATAATGGACACAGAGAAGATATACCAAACCTAAAACATCATGTTGTCTACATATCTTACAGGAATAGTACAACGTTTTGCTTATTATTTGCGTTCTCGACGATATGCTGCCACAGCCAGCTGCCGGTTAGCATAGCTTAGCATAGAGACAGGAACATCTTCATTTACAACACTGCAACTGTATGAGACATACATCCTAAAAGTCAAACAAACAAAAGCATGAGTTCACCGTTCTGGACAGGGTGAGGGTTTGAATCCCGCCTGAGACCAGGAGGGACCCCGGTACTTGTTGGCAGTTGGCACTGATACAAAACAGCATCAGTGTACACTTAACTTCGCCTATAGAAGTTAAAACACTTCTTCGCTAAGGCACCTGCAACACTTTAGCTGCAATTAATTAGTGCAACTGATGTAAAGCTGCACAATGATCAATTGTTGTATTGTATAATGTTGTTTTGTTTCTTAAAGCCTTTAAGAGGAGTCTAGTTTCCGCACATATATGGAGATGCAAAGCCGTTTGAAATCAACATCTGCACACTGACACAAACAGTTTAGTCATCAATCAGTGATTCGACAGAAATATAATCATAATTCTTTCAAGGAAAAGGGGTACATTCACAGTTTTATGTTATGATAATTGTGTGGATTTGCTGTTTCTTTGGTTTGATATAATTTTAAACTGAGTCACTTGAAGAGGCATCAGAGAAATGCATTTTATTGGCCTTTTATGAACAGGCGCTGCAATAATTAGTTTAAAAGATTTTGAAAATAATGTACATCTATTTTGACAATTGATTAATCATTTGAGCAATTTTTTAGGTTGTATCCAAACATTCTGTTGTTTAGGGGTGTCAAATTTGATTTATTTTAGTCGGCCTAACAATATTAAATGTAATGCTTTTAGGAGTTTTAGGTTTTCTGGTCAGACAAAGAAATCATGAAATCAACTCAGATCTAGAAAATCTAGAAAAACATTCATTACTGATTATATATGGGATTTGATTTAAGAAAATTAAATAAAAATTGGCGAGTCAGTTGCAGTATTCTTTTCACTTTTAAAGTCTTTTGATAAAAATAATGACAGATATGGCTAATAAATGCAGAATCTAATATTATTTTATTTTTTAACAATTCAGCCTAAATGTGATGTTCTTTTGTTTTTGTGTTTGTGGTCTATGCAACACTTTTTGTGTGATTATATCTTAATAAAATAAAGTGTTGGTTTCACCTTAAAACTGCACTGAAATGTCAAGTGGACATTTGCTGTCAAATACCCTGAACTCTAGCCTCGCCTTAATCCCATGTGATCAACACGGCTGTTGCTCGGCAGCATCCTACGTCTCAATGTGCGTCATAGAAGCAGCTTGGCTTTATCTCCCCGGTCTCCCCTCCCCCCGCTACCCGGTGAGGAATCTGAGCTGAGGTCAGTTTTCAGTGTTTCCCTCTGCTCAGATGTTGGGATCTCCCTCCAGCTTGGTGAGGTCGGTGGCCGTCCCCATGAACATGCTGCGTCCTCGCTCCAGACGGCTCTTCTTGTCCGTGAGGCGGAAGGCCTCCATGAACTCCTCGATGTCGATGCTGCCGTCCTGGTTGCTGTCGATGGTGACGGCCAGGTCCGAGATGGCTTCCTCCGTGATCTCCATCTTCAGGTAGACGCTCAGCAGCTTCCAGGTCTGCCGGAAGTCCTCCATGGTGATGAAGCCTGGGTGGAGGGAGGAAGTTAAAGATGCTGTGATAGAAACCGGCTGAGAGGGGGAGGCCAGTAGATCAGTGGGCTAATCCTCGTCTAAACCTAGCTACAGGTGGATAAGCACTTTACAAAGCCTTGACACACTTCACACCTCCACTGAAGAACACCGTCTCTCATTGGATGGTCTGTGCATCAGAAAAGTATTTGCATAATGGGTTAACCAACTTTTTATTTAATCGTTGGGCATATGGGACAATAGTTTTTTCTATATACATCATCCTATTTTCAGGAATTAATCATTAGTCCCATGTGCCCAAAGACCATGACAATCTAAACAAATCTATGTACTCAGAACAAGCTGAATATCAAAGATATGCACACATGTAGGCTAAAATAATATTTTATATGAAAGCCTTTCCTCATTTAACCAGGCCCACCCCTCCCTACACGCAGATCACGCAGACTGCGTGGGGCCTCATCTTTCGGAGGGGGCCTCGTCATATGCGCAAATGTGGCGTAACTCATCTTATGCGCAAATGTGGTGCTACTATGCGCGCCACAGTTTCCCCGCTGCGAGGCTCCGGTGCTAACAGGAGTGACACAGACCCTCTTCACATAATGTTGCGTGGGGCCACAAATTGGTCAGGGGCAGCCCTGCATTTAATTATTGCTAAAAGTTTGAAGTATTGTACAGTAAGATGCTCGGCCAAAATATTGTCTTACATGGCTTTTTTTGTTATAATGTCAAATATAGTATTTGGGCACAAATGGGTGTACATGCAACTTCTTTTCTAGTGATGAATAAATAGTTTTACCTGAGTTGTCCGTGTCTACGATTCTGAAGATGGTCTCCAAGGTGGAGCGGTGGCGATACAAAGTCTCAAGCAGACTCTGGTCAATATGCTGCAAGAAAGTTATTTAAACAGTATTTAAGTGTGTTTAAGTTAGAGTGTGTCTGAATCAACATATGCAAGCAGATATCAAATCAGACGGCATTATTTCTGTGGCGTTCTGTCTCCAGCTCGGTAACTCACGTCCGCGTTGGCTCCTTTGATGGCGAGCTCGTTGAACCACTCGTAGTAGTCGATGGAGCTGTCGGCAGAGCGACCGGGGACCAGTTGAGAGCACATTATCCTCCAGGGCAGGCCGAGGCGCATCACACTCTCCACCGCAGACGCCCAGTCGGCCAGACTGACACGACCTGAGGGAGGAGGAAATGTCATCCGTCACCTGATTTATCCAATAACTGTTTTCCAGTTATGTCAATGGATGTTTGATTGTAGTCCTATCGTACGTTTATTATACCAAATCACAGCATGCATTCTGATGGTATTCCTTAAGGTCTTCCTGTGGTACTTTAAATGGATGTTGGCCATTTTTAAATGGAGAACAACTTTTTTTTTAGCACCAAATCTGTATAACAAACTGTTGCTTCAACAACTCATTTTAAAACATGGGGTTGATCATCATAACCTGCCATTATAATAATCCAAGCCAAACATTTTCACAATATATTTCAATTGATTAATCCATTAATCCAACAGGATTCAGTTCCAAGCTTACACACTTCTACGTGTCATGTAGTGAGTGTGTGACTTTTTATTGCCACCTGAACGTCCCCTGTCGTTCAGAAGCTAAGTATTATTGCTAAGGACCAGAATAAAATGTAAAGCCATTAAAAATGATATTCTTTGAAAATTACCCTAAATATTCCCCTGTAAACAAACGTTCAAGTACATTTGAAGTGAAATAACTCAAACTGATGAGCTAAATTACATAAAAAACACATGATATGCTTATAATGTACTTGAGAATCAAGAATAGCGAGTAAATCCCAAGACAACAAGTTTCTATGAAACTGTCAAACGTTCATGAAAGGACTTTGGGTCAGCCCACAGTTTTTATCTGAATAGGGATAACAGTTGGGAGCTCATATTTCTCCCTAGCCACACATTGTCCTCCGAGAACTTCGAGTACACAAGAGATCTTCAACACAATTAAATAACACCTGATCTGACTGCCACACACACACACACACACACACACACACACACACACACACACACACACACACACACACACACACACACACACACACACACACACACACACACACACACACACACACACACACACACACACACACACACACACACACACACACACACACACACACACACACACACACACACACACACACACACACACACACACACACACACACACACACACACACACACACACACACACACACACACACACACACACACACACACACACACACACACACACACACACACACACACACACACACACACACACACACACACACACACACACACACACACACACACACACACACACCTATGTTTTCACTGTCCAACTTTTTGAAGGCACAGATCAGGTCAGATTTATGTGCAAACAGCTGCTCCCGCAGGACTTTGTTGGCTGAGCGCTCGCTCCGCCCCGCACTGCAAACACGACAACAACAAATAGAACACAGAAAAATAATCAAAGGCTTGTTGTTAGTGTTACAGGAAATACTCTAACATTTTTATAAACTTTTTTAAAAAACTGATAAAATGCATAAATAATAAACCGATGACTCCCACTGTCTAGATGAAGACTTTCTGGAAGTTTGTACCTTTGTCTCACGCTGAGCTCTCTGATCATGCTGCTGGCCTGGTACTGAACTAAATAAGGCACAAGGTCTGGACCCAACTTCACGTAGGCCCCCCTGTTGCTTCCCACATCGTAGTAGTTTGAAGCGGAGAACAGTGTGAGGACCTAGGTGAAATGAAAGAAAATCATTTAGTTAATTCTGAAAACATTAGAGGGTCTTCGGGCTGTCAGAGTCTGAGCTCACCTTACGGTTGTGGCAGAACTCGTAACCTTCCTGTTTGCACTCGTGCGAGCGGATGATGAGCTGCAGGTTGTGTCTGTTCAGGAAGTCTTCAGTGACGTCGGGGCCCCAGTAGCAGCCCCCGCCCCGCACCTCGTTGGGCACGCAGCCGTCCCGAGCCATGGGGTCGCTCCACAGCAAGTCCAGGATCTGGAGGCACACAGGAAGGACAGACAAGAGATTTAGATTAAAACCTTCAGATTTTTTGTGTGCAAAATGAAATACTGGTACACCTGAAAATGAAAAATAATTGAATTGGAGAATTTCAGACCTTTCTAAAAAAAAGGGACATAAAAAGGGAAAAGGAACCCTCAGAAATAGCAGTTGACAACACAAGGTCATGATAAGGAAAAAAACATGTTTTCAAGCCAACATGGATAGAGCATCCTTAGAAAAAGGGAAATATAACATCTACAAACTCCATCTGCTGAGCAAGATCATATGATCAAGATCTCCACAACAGCTACTAACGGACTTTGTGTTGATTTGATTGACTGTTCACTGGAATAGCAATTCTAAAATATCTTATTCTGAATTTCAACAATTAAATACCAGTTATTTCCAGCTGCTGTTACTCGTGTTTACAGCGGAAGGCGCTTTACAGGTCACACAATTTACTGAATGAGTTACTCTGAGTTGTTTACAACGATGTACCAAAGTATCAGAGACAAATGACTTCTCCTGATTGTGCTTAAGGTTGTGACGGTGGTGAACACACTGCAGAGGGATTAATGATGCGCTGGATTACAGCACGTTAAAGCTCCACACAGGCAACACTCCTCAGCAGGCGAGTGTTGATCACTGATGGAGCGTCTGTCAGGCTGTGACTCAGGACTGACTCAGCCCTCGCAATCAAAATAACTTTTTTTTCTCATGACGTCACTAATGAAAAATCTAATTCGGGAAACTTTAGACCTGAGAAGAACACACAAGCCCCATACTCGCGTAAAACCATTAATGAGTGTTGACCTTCTACTCAAACAGGGCTATGATTAATGTGTGTCCTGGGAACAGAACAAAAGACCAAGGATGGTTGAGGGTTGGAAGGTCGACCTAGCTTAGAAATGATGATGATGTTCGGCGATGTCAGTGGCCAATCTTTATCTGTTGAACTGGATACGATGTTGTTTTGTGTTCGGACTCAGACCAAGCTGATATACCCAGCTGCTGATTTGAAGAAGAAGCCACTGGCTGGACCCAACTCTGGCATGATGTAAGAGTGTAGAGTACAACCCATCCCGAATGGAGGTTAATAACCAGATCCCCTGACATTCACATCTGTTTTCATATGAATACCCTCAGAGGCCTGTACTACGAAGCTGGATTTTCGCTTAGCCGGCTAAATTCAGGGAAATCTCGGGCTTTCCGGTCCTACGACGCTGGTTCTCTTTTTAGCAGGCTAGATTTCCATGGTAACTTATGCTGAGCGGCAAACCTGCTCCGGAGCAGGTTAGGTGGCAGGCTAAGAGATTAACTCAGTGAAAGCACCGCCTGCTGACCAATCAGAGCTCCGTGTGCGGAGTTTAAAGCGATCAATTCATATTACAGGATAGAGGAAATACAGAAAAACTGCCGTTGCAGGAAAGACGGCCGTGAAAATTAATAGAATATCCCCTCCCATCTTCAGAGCAATCTGACTATTATAATATTAGCGTTAAGAAAGCTTACTTAAATATCTGCCACGACATAAGTAACCGGATCAGAGTAACATTAAGTACAGTCCGCGGCACTGTGAGTGCAGACGTCGATGTGTCTCATTATCATTCATATCATATCACATCATAATGTATCATATATTTCCTTATCTGAGTCAGCTTCTTGAGCCGTATCTGGCCGTGCAACACTCACAGTGTCACATACTGTATGCAGAAGTATTATTTTAAGCAACACATTAAGTTGACGAAACACTCGAGTCAAATTCTCCTAATTAAAGTCAGATCCACTCGTGTCTTAGACGGGGCAGTGATATCATAAACTGTTAATGTACGCATTCAAACACTTTTTCTTTTACCAGCTGTATTCACCTTGCAGGTGCAGCTATGTGGCTTTTATCCTGGATAAAGTGTTTAAGTCATGGATGTTTAAAGTTTAACTTCTTCATATTTGACTAATATTAAAGTTCACTTTTCATTCAGGAAGTATGACGCTGCGCTGTCAGTACGCTTGTCCGTGTTTGAGATTGGTCGAATGCTCCAAATACCACCCCTTTCATGTGAACGCGCACCTAACTAGATAGGACACGGCTGGCTTGAGCGATCCACTTGATAACCGGCGTCGTAGTACAGCTTAGCGCCAGCGCGTATGTTTTGGCTTAGGCCAACCGGCTAACTCCAACATATCCAGGTTAGGTTGAACCAGCTTCGTAGTACAGGCCTCAGGTGTCACAGGTTTCACAAAAACAAACTCAATGTGTAATTCCATGCTATCAGATTCGCAATACATGTGAGCAAAATAGGCCTAAGTAAATGTTTAAATTAAACCTACATACATTTACTTAAATAGGTTTATATTGAAGGGAAAATGCAGAATACGTAGGATTGACCTAAATCATGTATAGACTATTTTGCTATGTTTGGGACATTTCTTGACATCAAGCTGTATAGACACATAGCGACCATGAGCGAGATCATAAGTACAAATCTAACAGTGTCTACAAAACAAAGGCAGTCTGGGGCTGGCTTTCACCTGCTGCATGTAGCCTACTTAACAACGGGGGATTGAATGCGTGTTTAGTAAACAAATCAGAATTATGCATTTTGTAAGTATCTGAGCAAAGCCCTCACTAGTCGTTCTTCACCTGTTTCCACTCGTCTTCGCTGCTGATAGACTCGCAGGACTGAGACGTGTCATTTTCTGGTCCTAAAGGGCCCGGGAGCCTCTTGTGGATCTCCACCCCCTCCACCGTGTTCACTCTGAGCAGTTCGGAGAAGTCCTGCAGCGAGCGGTTCTGGAAGCCGTCTTTGGTCAGAGTTCTGGGAAACGTGAGGGAGGGTCTGCGCTGGAACACCTTGTTGGTGGACCCCGCCTCCTCGTCCATGTCCGAGTTGATGGGCACCCCCGCTACGCTCGGGTGTCTCTTCTTCGGAGGCCTCAGCGCTGAGTTGTACTGGAACAAAAACAGAGTAGGAATTTCAATGGCTTTCAGGATAATTGATCAAACATTTAAAATGAACATGCCAGTGTTTGAGGCTCACATTGTGTCTGTCCACTCTGGCGAGGACGTTGAGGTCGGTGGTGTTGGAGATCCCTCCGTGGATAACCAGCACCTTCTGGTCTATTACAGTCGCTAACGGCAACCAGCTGAAAATCTTCTGCAGCAGCTTCAGGATCCGTTTGCCGTGCATCTGAGGACGAACAGGAATTCAATTCCCCATCCCTTCTTTATTCTTCAGTTTTAGAGTTTGTTGCCAACATGAAAGAGGAGCCATAGTGTATCTTATAGCCCGAGTTAAGTTTGTACTCTTTTCCTTTTATTCCAGGATTACATTTTACACAATCATTTCACCTGATTTTAATTCCCACACTTTGACAGCAAACATCTTTAGGAAATGCCAAATGTCCTGCTTGTTTGAGGATGACATGGCGCTGCTTTGACATTTAACCTGTTCATTCACTTTTTCTGCCATCATACACAAAACACCAAGCCCATATTCTGTTTATTTTTTATGAAATTATTAGAATGATTTTATTTGTCTTTTATTGTCGTGGTTGAACATTTACTTTTGATATATTTGCCATCTAATAATTCAGCTTTATCTGTTTTGGACTTAAATAAATAGGGTTGGAGGGGGGGAAATTACTTGCAACCACAACTTGTAATCTAAAACAACATCAACAAGTTGAATTAATAAATAATAACAAAAATAAGGCAACAACCCCCAGTACTGGTCCCACATCCAAACTTGTATTTGTATTGATTTCAAATACATTAAGATAAGAAAAATGTATGCAGAAAATGTCATTATTTAACATTGACATTTGAACGTCTTTCTTGATAAGGATCACTTATTTTGCATCGCCTGTCCAGTACTTTCTAACTTTGTTTTATATGAATATTAAAATCCATTTCTCTTGTCATGGTGCTGTTGTTGTCTTTATCTGTGTTTGTAGGACATAAGTTTACAATTGTAGTACAACGCGCACATTTCTACTTTATGTTCTTTATGTTTATTTAAAGTATAGAAAATAAAGTATTTGTATTCTTATTGGGTATTGCTCCAGTTAAAATGTATTTTTCCAGATTGTGAGCTTAATACTTGTTTATAATTGTATCCAAACAAAGGACAGTAATCTGAAACATTTGGGGATTCCCTTGTGGATTCCCTTGTGGATCTTTGACGTCAGACAGTCAACTTTAAAGACGTCAAATCCTCTCAGCCGTGAGGAGGAGTGTCCCTTTTTATATTAGGAAGGAATCTGGCCCGTATCAAGACGGGATTACTAAATAAGCAGGGGTTGGAGTTTACCAAACATGTGCGTGGAAAGTTTTTATGGTGCCAACAACTTACCCTGTATTTAGACAACACCTCCTTTGTGAAGCCGTACCTACATCAGCCAGAGACACACAAGATGACAGTTAGAATCTGATTTGAGGCTTCATCCCCCCCCCAGTTAGACATGGTTTCACCTCAGGTTGACTATGTGGTCCTCGTGGTTTCCTCTGTTGAGGTACACTTCACTTGGATAGACGAGCAGGAATGAAAACAGGATGATGAGGATCTCTATGGAGTCTTTGCCGCGGTCTACAAAGTCTCCGTTAAACAGATACGGCTTCTCCAAGGACGGCATGTCATTCTGTGATGTAAACAAATGAAGCCATCAAGAGTGAGTCATTCTGTAATCTCAAAGTAAACACATTACAGGCCACAGCACTGATCCTGGTTCACTGACTCAGTGATTTCTAAATGTAGAATAATGCAGCATGTTGCAGCTTGACAGTAAAACGTATCATAACTGATTTAACGATTAGCTGATAGCGTTTTGAAAAGGGTTAATCATTCAAGTTTCATTTTAGAAAAAAAATCTGTTATTCTCAATTGCATATCATGAAAATAAAAATAAACGAGGTTTGGTCAGACAAAACAAGACCTTTGAAGACACCTTAGTGTTTTTGAATATTTATTTTACACATAATATATAAATACTCACTTAATCATTTAAATTGAAATAATAAATAATAATTAATTTACTTGCAACCTGATAACTACTATCGGGCCCTGGAGTACAGAAGGAGGTTTTGTGATTAAAATAATAACAGTAGAGGATTTCAATAAAATATGTCTTTCTATAGATGCCTCTTTTTAAAATTAAATAATTATAGCTCATGAGAAAAAAACATTTTCACGTCAGCTATTCTATCAGTTTTAGATTTTAGAAGAGAAAATCTGTACCTTGTAGAAAATCAGCAGCAGGTCTTCCAGTTGTCCATGCAAATCTCCTGTAATGAAGAGGATATATGTTGATGAATAAATAACAACAAACATAAACAAACTGCCTACATTACAGTCAGAAAGTGCTTCACAACAGAGAGCAATTTTCTTGATTAGTCTAAAACCCCAAAAGATTCAGTTAGCAATCTAGACGCTGGAATCAGATCACTTTAAGTTAGTAAAATGATGAACTGATCAAATCTCACCACAAATAGTGATTTCTTTGCTGTGGCAGGTGGAGATACGGTTGATATTTGGCAACAGCCGAAGCTGTTTCCACGTTTCAAGCAGGAGCTGGAGGACGTAGCGCGAGTGCAGCTGCTACTGGGAGAGAGTAGCTTTATTAGCAAAAAGGTTTTAGACACATGAACAGATAAGATCACTGCTGTGATATTTTGATTCATAAGTTTGAGCTTTAGGCATTTTTTATAGCACAGCATGTGAAAAAACAACAATAACCAAATGATATTTTTTTTTAAAGATTGCTTTTCTGCCGACTAAACAACAAGTTAAGAAGGAAAATGTCATAATGATAACATGCCAATGAAGATACAGATGTTTTTTCTTTTTAATATATATATAATTAATACCAAGAAACACTTGTTAAGTAAAAAGCAGACTCCTTCTTAAATGAATAAACATGATTGTAGTGGTCAATTGACACACCTTAGCATTTTTCTATAGAATAATGTCTGTTGTGGATCTGAGACTGTCCAAAAGGTTTATATCTTGCAAACCTGTCAGATTTCTTTAAAACTTCATAATGTTAAATGCTGGTCATGTTATTTTGGGTCCAGTGAAACACAGGAAGTAGAATCTATCATGTGCAGTGATACAAAACCAGTGAGTCTGTACATGAACTGTGACGGATGTATTTCTTTAAGGCTGGACTGTAAAGTGGGGATGTGCACCTACCTTCTTGTTCCTGAAGGCCTCCACCAGCCCCACCGCCTGCTCCACCGTCAGAGGGAAGGTGAGGTGGGGTCCAGAGTAAAGATCTGGCACCTCAATGTTCTTGTAGCAGAAGTACCTCTCCCACTCTGCATCCCGACAGACCTCATTCTCTCTGAAGATGTGCGAGATCAAATTCCCTGGCAACAAGGACAAGAGGACAGTTCAAAGTCAGGGATTCAGGAAATGCTCGTCAAATAAACTGTCTGTTGAAATGTCAAAGCTTACGTTCATTGCTTGCAGGTGTGAAATTGTCCATCAGGTAGCCGAGGAAGTTATAAAGCTACAAGTGGAGGAGACGTGAAAGTTAAGATCTTATGTTCATTCTTACATATTCAGGACCATCCCTGTTGTTTCTCACCTTTATCTGAGCCTGTTCTCCAGAGTATTCGATGGACTGGAAGATGTGCCAGGTGTATCTCCGCCGCATCTCTTTGCGGGCGACAAACTGACGGTACCATCGCTGAATCAGGACGGCAGATTTAATAGCTGAAACGACAACAAAAGATGATCAGAAATTATTCAAATGATAGAATTGTTCACAACATGCTATTGCTTTTCCAACATTTTGTTAATAATCGTTCTTCGTATCGTTCTTATTAGGAGATACATTTAAAAGAAAGTTCTTGTTCAGTTAAGACTTAAAACAAACTTGACATTTGTTATGTATTGAAAAGGAGCCTATAAGAGATTGTGATATTGACAACATTTGATATTTATGTCAACACCGGTAAAAATAATAAAATTATTTTGAACAATACTGTGATATCCTCCTAGGTTGCCCTGCCCTGTATTGAGACAAACAATCTGTCACGAACCATAACAGACAAAACAAGAAAGGAAGTAAAAAAAAAAAAAAGATTTACCACATTATCACTGTAAGCTTGTAGCTCTTTGGTGTTTATTTTAAGTTCAATTCTCAACTCAATTATTTGTATGTGTCATTTCAGACTGACCACAACAACTGGAAATTCCCTCCACAACAAAAATGTGTTTAGCTTGTGTGAAATATCTGAACATCTCTGCTTAAGCTGGATATTCAATCTTGCTTCTACCTGCCCTCATACTCATATGGAAAACAACAACAACAATCACAGCAACAACGACAACAAGGTGTAGCTTACTTATAACAGCTGCAGACAGCAGCAGAGGAAAAAGGTCAAAGAAAAATACAGATTATTACAACAAATAAAACAGGGAGATTACATCTGAAGTGTAAACTATAGACAACAAGTGGGACATAGTGGTGAGGATTTATATACATCTCAGAAGGTTAAGAGAGAAAATAGGTGTATCGGTCAATGTTTGAAGGATCATGGTTACCTTTTCCAGAGTTTTTGTGGAACTGGTTGGACTTTGAGACACCACATCCCATGACTGTTCCTGTTCAAAGCACCAAACAATCCTCACATTATGTAAAAGCTATCAGAGGTGACAACGTAATTAATCCTAAACTGCTCTCTACTAGGAATGCATTACTTTTTTGGAGTCACAAAACAGACTTTACAACAACTAGAAGTAACCTGCTACAGTCCAGTTGACCCTGTTCATTGACAGAGTGGAAAGTTGAGCGTGGCTGGTCATCAGCTGGAGAGCTGGAGTTGGAAGACGTTCGACCTTTTAATCTCATTACTGCTGGCTCCTCACTTCTGTGATCGGCCTCAATCTTAAAGCACAGGGCTTTTTTTTTTAATGAAGACTAAAATAATGCCATCTATGAAACTGAAAAAGGGAGGAAATATCTGTATGGACTGAAGTTGTTTTTATGAAATGGACAAATTATTGTTTTAAATCACCATCTGTTGGTAAACAGATAATCGGTAAACAAATAATCCCTTAATGAATGTTTACAATGTACACAACCGTTGATTGATCAACCTGTATTTTAGGTTGATCAATCAAACCTAAAATATACATTTCATTGAATTGGGTGGCACATAAGTCTCTTGCTGGTTATGACCTACTTTAAAGGAACAGATGGGTGACTTTCCTAACATGTAAAGAGATCTGTACTACAATGTAAGCCTGGCATTTTAAGTGGACTAAAATACATTTTGAGAAGCTCTTGATTCAGATCTGGAACATGAAGATGTTTCTGTCTTTATCTGCTTTTTTCTGGTTTAACTCAATTGATCTAACTGCTGTCGAAATACGAGATCTTTAAATCAGCAGTGTACTTACGTGGTCACCTCTTCAATCCAGTCACCAGCTCCCAAGTTGTTTGGCTTGCAGTTTCAATTAATGTTCAAACAGCCATTTGCTCTGTTTCATCCTCCAACAGTCCAACAGGATCAGGTCAAGAACTGCAGGATGTCTATCAGACCGATCATTGTACTGTGAGAATGACAGCAACACCCAGTAACTCAGCACAGAGGCCTCATCGAGCTCCGTGAGTCTGTGCTGAAGCTGGTTTAGTCTTTAGTGCTTCAGTGTGTGATCGTATCGTGAGAAAGGCGGATTACTTGAGCTAATGACTTGATGCGACTAGACTGGTCTTTTTATAGGAAGAGGGTGCCGCGGGAAACTATAGGTGACAAGAGGCCAGGATGTGTTTTTGGTCTTTTTTTTTTATCACATGGGCTTCTTTTTTGGATTGTGTGCTATGAAGTAAGTAAGGTATTACCAAACCTAAGCATGATGATGTTTGTTAAATGTCACCTTATGTTGAGCAAAATAAAGGTAATCTCCATGTTTCACTTGCAGCCTTGATAGTTGTCTGACATTAGAGTTATGTTCATGGCAGGCTGTAAGAAAAGTACGTCTCCCCAAAAACAATTCAGTATTAAATAACTAATTTATCACTGTCTATTTTTTTTTTACCCCTCAAATGTTTCCCCAATGTAAACCCCAACAAGTGATTTAGAACATAATTTAAAATATTACTTAATTTCACTTGCTGTAAGTCCCACACAGTTACATCTTTGAATCATTATTATTACAATTCAATCAAATGAAAAAAGGTCAAATGTACACCAAAGGTTACCAGTCCAAAGTTGTATCTTTATAGCCTGTATTTATTTATATATTTTATCTTGAAAAATGACCACATAAATAAAATGTATTAGAACTTGATAGGAATAAAATATTACACATGGCTAATAATTAAGCTAATTTCCAACGAATGGCTAATCATTTACACAACGTTATACCGCGGTGCTAATCAAATATTTGGGATGCAGTTTCACTACGAGATTAACTTGAAAGGGTCATGTAACATCATCCTGTTTATGACCAACATCAATTGACATGTTCTTATTTAATATATAAAACTCATAACGTTGCTTTACAAACATACCTGAACGCAGCGGCTCTTGAACGCATCCCGCAGCACTGCAAACGTATGGCGGAGGTGAGTTAGCTAATGTTGGCTAGAAACCTTTTAAAAAGCTAAAAGCAAGCTGTCCTGTGTTTTATATTGACATCAATTAATAGCGAATTGTCAGGTTTAAGAGAAATGTAGGAGAAACGTGTGTTGCTCCGCGTGTTGCATGACATAAGGAGGTGTGTTTGAGTCGCTCACAAACACAGGTTCTGTTATGGGTTCATGTGAGGTTCAATGTGGTTGTTCGGTACTTCAAACTAATGCTATCGTGTTCAACAGTCTTTATATATTTAACAGTCCTTGCCTTGTATTCATAGAAAGTTCATTTATTTTTGCAATACTTACTTATCAATATACCTGGTCTACATTTTAAAATGTCAGAGGTTTTGAGGATTGACACTGAATTTACTCAGGCCTACGGCAGAATTGGGAAATATAAAGAATAATAGATTTTTTTTCAGAATGATTTGAAAGCCAAATGATGCATGCATAAGGTTGTTTTTATAATAACTGTATCAAACGTTTCCTTTTATTACATGATACTTCCGTGTGTAAGTGTCACCTGGAGCTATAATTATTCAAGCACAGATTCAGCATGACAGGAAAAGGACGTCCCTCAGATAGACAACAAAGCTGCAGTGTTTCCTCTCTTGTTCCACGAACTGGTGGGTTTACAGTGCAAGGAAAGGGTAAAAGTAACAGGTTGTAGTTGAAATAAAGTGACCTTTTAAGCTTGGTTAGATTGAAGGTCACGCAAGGTTTACTATAATACTTATCTGTCAGAATACGTCCAGGAGACTATTTATAAAAGTTTGTGTCCATAACAACATCATCAAATATGTTCTATTTATTTGTGGTTAGTAGTAGTTGTACTAGTGTTTGTTTTAAAGAGCTTTTAGCACTCAAAATCAGAATTACTAAGAACTAGTAGTTTAAAGATTTAAGTTTGTATTAATAATATTATTGACAATTTAGTTACATTTAGAGATTACTTCATTATTTCATTACATTATATTATTATAACATAAAACAATGATCAATAAAATAATTGGCACAATAATCCATAATGAAGGTAATTGTTTGTTGAAGCCCTTTTTAAGGCAGCCCTCTTGTTTAACATGTCATAAATTGAGGTTTTGTTGTACTGGCCTGTGATCAGGAGGGGGCACAATAAGACAGATGTGATCCTCTATTCTACATAACAGCTGCGCTTGTATTACAGATATTACAAATATATTATAATCAGTGGCGTTTTTATATGTACAAAAGTGGTGGGGCACAAAAAACGTAGATGTCTATATATAAGCTTCTGCAGTGACGTGCAGTGAGGTTCATGGCTGGTGAGGCACTGGCACTGACTCTTCAGGTTTACAAATATTATATTTTGACCTAAACCAAAATATAATATTATTTTCAAAAGCTTTTTTTGTCTGATGCTTCGATTAATTTTAAACAGACAGTTCAACAAAAGGATACCCAAAAAATGTAATTTTATCATTTAAATATTGAATTGTTCTCTCTTAGTAAGATCCCATTTTCAATCAAATTGCGGTCTTACCTTGACTTGAAGATGAAGTCCATTTGCCTATCCTTCTGGACAAAAATGTCTATAACTTTTTTGTAAAAGTCCTCCTTATGTTCTTGTAGTTTCAAAAGTCTATCATAAATCTAATCCATAGATTTATGATAAAAAAATTATAAAAGTAGGGTAGACATGTGGATGTTATCCGGCTGATCAAAACGTGCATTTATCTAACAGGTACGTTTCCCACAGATCTTATTTCCAGCTATTTTCTAAAATCCTATGGAGAAATCTCATTGCTTTTTTGTCGAGGGAAGCCATGCGCAGCTTACTTCCTGGTTTTAGGACGCGTCACTGCAGCTCTCTCGTCTCCTCTTCACACACCACACTTTTCGCGGCACACGTACTTACAGCCAATCAGCTCTGAATGATTTGAGATGACGTATGGTGGGGATGGTAGCTCCATGCCCCTCTGGTCATTATTTTTTTGCCACACACATTTCATTACAAAATACTCTGAGCATGCGCAGTGTAGTTTTTACAGTCACCGTTGACTTCACAGCGAGAGGGAGGGGCATAATCAGGTTTTGTCCCACATGGCTCTAAACAGCTCAATAGGCACACACTGTGACTGTAGACACACTAATTAGAAGAACACATACTAAAACAGCAATGTACAGACGAATCAGATGATTAAACATGATCTTAAAATATATTTTATATATATATATTTTTTTTTTTTTGCATTTTTGTAATCATTATTTGTAATACTTTCTGCTGACACTAGGTGGGGCTGTGCCCCACCTGCCCCTAATGACCAGTCGCCACTGATTATAATGTACAGCACACTGCGCAGGCGCCAATGGCGCCAGTATTCTGATTTTACTCAGCTTCTCTCAATTAACATTATTTCAATGTTTATCCTTCAGGATATTTTTAAAGGGAGGTGAGTGGTGGGTACAATTTATAAAAGCAGTTCCACTTTAAAAAGCTTAGCTTGCTTCTTGCAAAACTCAAGATCAAGTTATCTGATGACTTTTACAATTCAAGTTAAAACCATAAAAACGTGGCATTGTGCTGAAAAAAACCAATGATGTATTTGGGTTTAGATATGTTAGTGGAGAAATGTAACATTATTTATTTAAAAAGTATAAAAACTTCCCTAAAATATACTTTATTCTATTTTTTTAATTCAAATTTGAATCAATAACGAATGGATAATACATACAATATTTGATACATTTTATCTTTATCTCTGTATCTCAGGATTAAGGATGTTGGCTTTTTCAATTGAGAAAAAAGTCAGTCCCATAACAAGGGTTTTACATTTTTATAGAAAATGAATCAATAAAATTATAGCCCATCCATTTTATTTAACTCAGCTGATGTCACAGTGCAGCATGTGGCTCCAAGTTGACGATAATAAACTTAAACATAGCCGCTACTACTTCCAGGAAATACATTCTCAAAATGGTTGCCTAACCAACATAATTTGAGATGAATTCAGTTTATTATAATCTTCAGAGAGCATCTGACTCACAAACTCGTCATCCTCCACTGCTGCAGAAAGGATAATCTGTTCAGATTCAACAAAGACACACTGTGTGTCCATATTTGACCTCCATTTTAAATGTTCCTGTTACTCAGCTGTGACAGCTTAAAAACAAGTTGTAATGAATTTTTGTTTTAATGTTGTGTAAAGTCCCATAAGACATATACGATTGATAGCAATTTGCAATCCAATGTTAAATTCCCTGCAAAAATGTAGGCAATCTAATAATTGTTTCAATTATTTATTAAACAAAACAGGTTCAATATGTTCTATTTCCAGGCTAGCAAGTGTGAGGTTTTGCTATTTTTGTGTTTTATATATTTATTTTATAATAATTAGTTGGACTTAAATGAAGGCTGGACAGCTTAAAACGCATTATTATAGATGTATTAATATTTAAAACTAAGTTTTACAACTGAACTGCTGAAACAATTTCATAACATTCATCTGCTACTTAGTAATTATTTATCTATTATCTAATATATCATTCCAATAACTTGTATATAGACTCTTATTGCACTATTCCACTTTTTCTTTCACTTTAAAATTTTTTTTTTTTCTTTTTTGTATTACTTTTAACATAACATATTTTAATATTGTTTTAATATTGTCTGCTTATCTGTATTATTGTGTTGCATTGTTGGAGAAGCCTGTGACCTAAGATTTTCAACGACATAATTACTCTGTAGCTATGTTAGTTTGACAATAAAGGACCATGAACCTTGATCAGATGACAAACCGAACTTCCGAAGAGAGAGCTTCTTTATTGCACCATAGAAATCATTTCTGTACACTTGTGAAACAGGGAGAGGTCAGAGCATTGGTCACGCGTCGTGTATTGATAAGCTTCCGCCCTGACTGAGCTGTGTGTGTGTCAGAGTGTGAGGATGAAGATCGCCGTGCTGGGAGCCACGGGACAGACCGGACAGTATCTGGTCAACCAGGCGCTGCAGCAGGGCCACACCGTAACCGCCATCGTCAGGAACCCCGCCAAACTCACCGTGCATCATGACAACCTCAAGGTATGTGGAACCAATGGGTGGTAGTCGTTATGTTGTGCTGCTGCTCCGTGCATCTTGGGCTCAAAGTTCAGTCACAAAATAAATGATAAATGTTTTATCATGTCCAAAGGAGGGTTGTATGAGGTAAAACATGTGCTGCTTATGTTCCTTAACATAAGCCAAAACAACTTTTACATGTGGGTGTGGTACTGTGCACACAGGAAGGTGGAGCACTGCCAAGATAAAAAACCCAGTGTTATTTTATTTTGCATTACTCTGAACAAATCCCATTAATAGCCCAAATAATAACAGTTTACTTAATATTAGCTATTGAAATATTGAGTATTGGCTGA